CCCTGACTCCCAAATTCGTCACCAACAAGAATTTTCTGCATCTGTTTCAAGAGTTTTTCTTACCCTCCCCAATCAGAGCCGCCTGTAGCCTCTACTTACCGCAACTTTTGGATAGTGCCGAAGTCTCGACGCAACATGTTTAGTTGGGCAAAACAACAGTTAGTTGAATCATCTCTCCCCACCCGTGCTCTTCGTCTGTACCCGCCCGCGCCCTGCAGCTCCTGAGCGACCTTCCTGCAAGCCTCTGAACGCATCCGCCCCCCAATGCACCCCAAGCGTCCGTAGACTTACATTCTCCTAGGCTGGCGAATGTCGCCGGCACCCAGGAACCTGAGTATGGCCCGACGGCCATTCAGGCCGTTGGAAAGCAAGAGGGCGACCCCACCCACACCGAGTTGACTAAAGCGGATATGAAATGGGTCACTATGGAATCCACCTCCCTCGAGACGCAGACGTTCTACGTCACCGCAGACAGTGGCCATTTCGGCTTCTTACAGGTCCTCTACAGCAACGTAGCGTAAGAGGAATGCCAATCCACCGTTGATGCGCACGCTAAGTACTCATCGTGCATAGGGGTCTACGAATCACCGTCCAATTTAACTGTAAACTTTTCTATCCTGACAACAAGAAACCCGCCCTCTGGACATCCGACCCTCTCGAGAACTACGGTTTCGATGAGGAGCAGTTCTCATTCTATGCCGACGGCATTTCTTTGGAGCTCTCCGAGGATGGGTCATCATATATATTAAAGTCGGCGGTAAATGACAACGGTCTGGTGAATTTGAAATTTACCAAAACAGCTCCCGGATTTGTCGCTGGGAAGAACGGCACGAGCTACTATGGGACAGATCCAGAGAATCCCTGGGGATCCATGAGGCATGCTTTCTGGCCAAGGTGTAGTGTTGAGGGTGTCATCATCACAAAGGATGGAGAGGTTGATTGCAAAGGCCGAGGGTTCTTGTCCCACGCTCTTCAGGGTATGAAACCCCATCACGCTGGTAGGTGAATTTGACATTACCCTGCTTCACACATGCTCACCTGTTTAGCCGCTCGGTGGAACTTTTTGAACTTCCAATCCCCAACATATTCCGTAATATTGATGGAATTCACCACACCACTTTCGTATGGCTCGACTGTTGTTAGAACCTGCGGGGTAGCTACCGATGGCAAGCTGCTCTTTGCTGGAACATCTGCCGATGTCAAGCACATCGAAACCAAGCAAGATGCAGAGAACGAATGGCCAGAGCCTACTTCAGCAAGCTATCACTTGGAAGGGAAAACCGAGGATGGCAAAGAAGCATCTGCCCATCTTGAAGGAAGCCTTGGCGAAAGACTGGATCGCGTCGATGTCATGGCGGAGGTCCCGGGGTTTGTCAAAGCGATTATTGCCAGTGCGGCAGGCACGAAACCATACATCTACCAGTTCGCTCCGAAGATGACGCTTGAGGTGAAGATTGGAGATGAGGTTAAGAAGGAGGATGGAGCCATGTACTCTGAGGCTACCTTCATCTCATGAGGGTTCGATCTTGGCAGGACACTCTCTTCTCGCCCCTACCTAGCTTTAATGATTAGAACTCTCAAGGCTGGCGCTTGAGGATTCCTAATGAATGAATGCATATTACCTTCTCATCATGAAGTATTCCTTCTCGCATGTATGAACTGGCGTACAGATTACAATTTCATATCTCTACAAGGGGTGGGGTAAGCAAGGAAGGTGGCAGCTCGCGAAATCTAAATTCTGCGGTGTCGTACTCCAAGAGTCGAGGAGCTCTTTGTTCACCATCGAATGGAGGCTCAACCACGGATCCGTAACGCCACGCAGCTCTAGTGTGGCTGACCCCGCTAAGCCCCACATGTGCACCGAAACACTTCCATTTAAACCTTGGTAGGGCTTCCTCACTGAAAAAGAGCTATCAACGACTCATCAACCTCTAAACCCCGCGTTTAATCCTCGCCCAAGATGGTCTACTATTTCACTTCCAATACCGTGTCTCCAGCAGCCTTCATATACGTTGGCAAAGACAAGGTAGAAAGTACTTCAGCCCTCCCCAGACTTACTCTCACAATATGACGTTCAAGTCCTGACGCATCGCAACGATAGATGAGGAGCTTATCAAATATGGCTTTAATGAAGATATCTGGTTTCATGTGGATAATCTGTCGTCGGCGCATATCTACTTGAGGCTTCCCGAAGGAGAAAATTGGGAGAATATTTCACCCGAGTTACTGCAGGATTGCGCGCAGTTGACCAAGGCTAATAGTATTGATGGTGAGAATCCCTTGTATTTTTCCTGTGTCTTAACAAATGGTCTGGCTCACGGCGTTGCAGGCAACAAGAAAGATAATGTTACGATAGTCTACACACCTTGGTCAAATTTGAAAAAGGATGGGAGCATGGCTGTGGGTCAGGTGGGTTTCAAGGATCAGAGGAAGGTCAGTGTGCCTCTCTCGCTTTTCATACATTCAGAGAAAGTTCTATTCTGTTGCTGTGGAAACATTTGATCGAAAAAGAACCTAAAACGACCGTAGGTTAAGCGCATCCATGTCGAGAAACGAGAGAACCCAATCGTCAACCGGCTCAACAAGACTAAGAGCGAGAAGTATCCAGACCTAAGGCAAGAGAAGGAAGATAGGCAGAAGGAGCTAAGGCTACGAGATAGGGTTGCGCAGCAGGCTAGAGTAAGACGTTCTCTTCTTCCATTTCTCCTTAATCCTGCCCATAGCCGAACACAAATCCGAAAGCTTCCAGCCTTACATCTCCTCTCGTTTGTCTTCTGCAATCACTAAACTTCCATGTTATCTACGGTATCCACTAACCCCACTTCAGCAAAAAGAGGAAGCTCGAGTTGCAAGGGAGAGAAAGGAGAAGGCTTGGCAGAGAGACCATGCGTACGACGACCTGATGGCTGAGGAGAATGTTGCGCAGTCAAGCAACCAAGACCGGGATCCGGACTTCCTTGACGACTTTTTTTAGTCGTTCTCTTCTCGGTCTCTACATATCCTCAGATGCATGAAGCCAGCACCTCCGCCCAGACTCATAGGACTGCTTTAGCCGAGACACGATAGCAGTTCGCGAGTGATTGACCAACTGCCTTTGGCCAAATCGGACGGGAATGGCGCTGACGATGGTGTTGGAAACTGTCAATTCGGGTCTCGAACTATCATTGCCGGAAGGCACATTCCCATGGTCTCATTGAGCATCTGAATGTTATAGTTGAAAGTGTCATATGCTGTAGTCTTGATCTCAACTTCTGCAGGAGTCCTGTTTATCTTTCATGAGCTAGGATTACTCAGCTAAAAATGCTGGAACATACGGCTTCTTCTGGCCAGGTTTCTTCTTCAAACCCCCTCTTTCTTGGTACCACCAAACGAATAAAAGATTTTTGAGGATCTTATGCTCCAGACCGTTCTCCGAAGTTGCATATCGGAGGAACTGGAGTGTATTGTCGACCTTTTGCGGACTGAAATCTGTGACATCGCCTTTCCGGAAAGAGAGGCGGAGACGATCTCGAAGCGTATAGCGCGCTGGCTTGGAAAACTGCACAGCCCGCAGCCCTTGGCGGTAAAGATATCGATACGCATGCACAATCTCCTCTCTCGACATGTCAATGAAAAACTTAGGGTGCAGAATGAAAGCTCTGCGAACCGCGTCGATCACCGACCCGGGAAAATGAACCACCGCTCCCAGGCTGATTTAGCGCCGGCCTTGGCACTAGCCAACTAGAAAACTCCGCCTGTTTCGCGACCTTACCGTCTTCCTCGAACCTCCTCTTTACCCCGAATCGCTTGCGAGTGCTAGCAACGACGGGGCAAACGAGGCTTTTGTAGCGATTAATTCAGGCCTCACCAACCTGATCGAAGCCGGAGTCGCTCTCTGAGTGGCGTGCGCTGCTTCATCAGCCGTTGCTTGTCACCGTGGAATTCCTGAACTAATCAATGTACCAGGCCTTCAGAGAGATTAACAAATCTAGTTCACGAACGACATGGCCCGAGGGGGAGGTCATCCGACCCCGGCTGATCATCTCGATCGCACCAGGGCGGCGCACAAGAAGAAAACGTACCAGACGGTGCTCGAGTCGGTCATCGATAAGAAGAAAATCCTGAATGCGAGCGTCCGTCCCCTCCTCTCATTGTCGACTTCACTCTTCGCTGACATTGTCTATTAGTGGACGTTCAAGAAACCTTCTCCGGAAGGCTACACCTACGTGCGCACCTCCCAAGAAACATCCCGGATCATCATCGCTTCCCAAGAACGATGCCGTCTTCGAGGTCTTCCTGTCTACCAGTATTCGGTAAGCAGGGTTTTCAGCGCCTTGCGTCATCCACGCTAACTTGGATATGTGTAGAATAGAACGGGGTCAATGGCGAAGGCGCAAGCAAACCCTAATAAGATTGCTTTCTATGCTACTCCGATCGGGTACCATTTGCCCACCGTAGTCATCACCGAAGTATGCGAGGACTTGGGCTACACCTGGAGTATCGATAGGACCGATGAGTTGCATCTTGAGTCTGGAGACCATGGTCATCGTACGGATCCCAGTCAAGAAGCTACCAGGGAGGAAATCATGAGGGCGATTCACCACCACGTCCCTAAGATCCCTCCCACAGACGTGGACACAATTATCAATCATGCGTTCAAGAAGGTATTTGACTGAGGCTTCAAGATTGCGACCACTCTTCTGACATCCTATAGGGAGAGAATAGGGTGGGCGAAGCCGGTAATTTATCGCTCATCGATCGAGTAAACCTTGCGGTGCAAGCTCATATCAGGCATATCTACACCGACTACGATTATTTATTGAAGTCTATCGGGTGGGAAGGAGCGCGCCAAGAATCTGAATCCCGCATTGTTGAGCAGCTGAAGAAGTGGCGCAATCTGGACGACAATGGCGAGCCTGAGGAAGGTTTCCGAGAAGTGCTCGTTATTGAAGATGATGATGCTGAATCTAGAGAAAACGAAGTCGATCGCAGTGGCCTTTTAGCCAACACAGGTGGGCATGGTCATCAACAGTTGTTTCCATCAAGTCGAGGAGGAGGATTCCATGGCTCACTCGCAACTGCTATATTCGATCCTGGCCATGCAAGTACTCGAGTGAAGCCCTTAACCCTACCAGCCAACTCTACTATCTCGCTCAGTTCATCGTACGCATATGAGAACAAGCCTCAATACGAACACGGATTTCGACCTGTTGTCAATCCGTAAGCATCAATCTCCTTTTCCTGTATTGGAAGCTGTTTAACTTGTCTAGACAATCAACTACCACGACATTGGTACCTGTTGAGAGGAAGACTACTCAGCAAGTTCTTCTCCATGATGGTGTCCTATATAACGTGAGTATCGGGGTTGTCGCATTGCCGACAGCTGGCTCCAAAAGTACTCCTTACACAATTTTTACATAAGCTAATATTCCTAGCTTCAACCTGTTGAGCCCACCTATAGTAGCTCAAGGACAACCACACGTACTAGTCGACTAGTTGAACATAACTCTCACAGGGCACAGCTGGTTCCGCCTGTCAACGACATAGGACGCTCCATCCAAGGAGAATACAAGCAACCTACACAGCAAGGTAATTCGCTGCATCGCGCTTCACCCCACAGAGCAGCGCCGTCAGCTATCCCGAGACGTCTGTCAGAGCAGGATATCGTTCTTCCATCCGTAGAACGTGATAACGACAATGTGTTACACCCAATGCCAGCACCGGACAGCCGCCGAGACCGCGATATAGTGGAAGCCCGTAGTTTACGCACGATCGCCCGGCGATACAGTCCGGATGACATGATTGACTTGACCAGTAGCCCGCGCCAAAAGGGAGGCAGAAGCGGAGCAAACGAGGAAAATATATGGGTACAGTCTCGCCCGAAACCCCATGATGTTCTGCCCTTGTATGCTCATAGACCACCTCGTGAATCGCCACGGCGTGGTCTACGGGGTGCTTATTACGAAGATGCATCTAGAGACGTGCGCCCTGCTCACATTCCTGAATCGCATAGGACTACTGAATTTCGATATGCTCCAGTCGTTTCTCGTACTCGTCCAATTGAAACGGGAGAGCTATCTTCGCTCTCTTATCCCGTTGTAGTGGAAACCGGACATACTCGAAGCGGACAGCGATTCACCCGCTACTAGCATCTTATTGAACGTCCTCCTAATGTCCGGAAGTCATTTCAGATTCTCAGCGGCGTCAATAGGATGATACCCCATTTCCTTATCGAGTATGGGCACGGAAAATACTCTATTTTCTTTACTGGTGATATGACTACGGAAGATACCCTATTTCCTTTAGTGGCATGACTATAGAGGACAGCTTGTTTTCTGGAGTGGCATTGACATGGAAGAGACCCCATTCCTCTGGTCTCTTCGGGCTTTGGGTCCCTTGTCTTTTCTTTTACGGTCTGTTCTTTTATTTATGATGCCTGTCCTCTTTCCTCACGGGCAAAGCATCAGGACATCAAAAGTCATTCAGCCCATCTTTCCCACTCTTCACTGAACCCTTCTGGGGCCAGTACAATAATCCGAGGTCTGCGGAATTATTTGGTCTTCATGTATGATAATACCTTCATAAATCAAAAGTTCGCCGTCCCAACTAAACCTATGTTAGAGCCCCACTACGTGGTGCACGCTTCAACCAAAATGTAACAGCAGTCTTGACAGATGAATTCCTCCTAGCGTATTACTCCTCAGACATGGACAAGCACCCACTTCTTTTACCACCACCCCATTCTCCACATATATCTCCTAGAATAGGATGTCCATGCGCATTTACTCCACTATCCAACTTCCAATACCCGCTCGCATCCGCTAACCACATGGAGCCTCTCTCGCTGACAATTACCATGCTCTCCGCCTTCCCGCGGCAAGGCAATTTGAGATGCCGAATTATGGCTTCCTCTGATTGGTCAGTTTGAGAGCATTGGTTTCTTGATCACGAATTTGAATACTTGAATGGTTTTATTAGCACGCTGGGGAGCGAGCGTGCCGGAGTTGAGGGTTGTTTGGAGGGGGGTGTGAGTCACTATTGATTAGATATTATGTGAGGGCCATGAGTAAGTTTGAATGTCTTCACGGAGCTTGAAGACATCTGGCGTTGTGGGCAAAAATTATATATATTCTCCATCCCGCTCTACCATCTCTTTCGAATCAGTTTGTACTTGAATCATCGTCTCAACGCCACGCCCTCCCTTCCATTAGCTTCCATTCCAACAACAATGTCCCTTCAAAACCAAACCGCCCATCTCCTCCGCACCCTCCACAAGCCCGGAAATCCCATCATCTTGACTAATGTCTGGGATGCCATATCCGCCAAAGCAATCGCATCGCTCCCACAAACCCAAGCCATAGCAACCGCCTCCTTCGCCATCGCCGCAGCCGCCGGCCTCGAAGACGACCATCTCACACTCGATGTCAATTTACGCGCTATCCGCGCCATCGCACCTATTGCTGCTGCTTACAACAAACCCCTCACCGTCGACTTCCAAGACGGCTTCGGCGACAGACTTGAAGAGGGGATTCGGGAAATCCTCAAACTCGGCGTTGTGGGAATTAATCTTGAAGATTTTGGACGTGAGATGAGCGTGGATGGTGGGGACGGGAAGGGCGGGTTGTATTCAATTTCCACCGCACAGGAGAGGATTCGCCGGGTTATGGCTATTGCGAAAGAGGAAGGTGTGCCAGACTTCGTCGTCAACGCGCGGACTGATGCCCTGCTGCACGGCCATCCGGTGGCTGAAGTTGTTGAGCGAGGGAAAGCGTATTTGGATGCAGGGGCGGCGAATGTGTTTGTTTGGGGAGGGGTGAAGAGAGGGGGGATGCGGAGGGAGGAGGTGCAGGAGTGTTGTAGGGAATTTGGAGGAAGGTTGAATGTTAGTATGAAGTTGACGCCGGGGAATTTGACGTTAGAGGAGCTGAGGGAGATTGGGGTCGCGAGGATTAGTATTGGGCCGCAGTTGATGTTGAAGAGTGCCGGGTTTGTAGCGGAGGAAGCGAGGAGGGTTTTGGGAGTGTAGAATGGGAAGGGTACATGGGGCGGGTGATTAACTGGTTAACGAAAGAGCTTACAGTAGATTTTAGAGAAAGATTATTACTATGTTCATCTTGGCTACTAGATAATATCCGTATAGAGAGTATTTTAGCGAGGCCCTACCACAGTTAACTCATAGCTATCGGTAGAGAAGTTGAAACATAGACAGCTCACCGATAGGCCTCCCAAACATAAGCTTGGTATCCGACAGAATATTAAGTATTCAGCATCATCCCCTCACAGTCTTCTAAGTAGTGTGCTGTGCCACATGGGGCCATGTGTAACATAACACACCATCCATATGTTACGGGCGAAACACGAGATAGAAGTTTCAGTCATTGTTGTGCAAATTTAAAAAGGAAGATGCAATGTAACAACAAACAATCCGAGAGTAGCCCCTGAGATCCGAAGGTAATATCCTTCCCTTTAACAGTCTATGGACCCCTCTTTAAAAATTACAATGCCTCCTCTAGCAACCTATATTCATGCCAAAATATCAGCAATTATCGAAAATTCGTCGAACAGCCAGGAACCCCCTCTCGCTGTAGTCCCAATACGCAATCAATCCGGACCATGAGCACTGACTCCAAACCAGCCCTGTCAATTCACCTCTCCCCAGTCTACGGCCCCCGGTGCAACAGCTTGCCAGCGCCATTCTCGCCTCCAAGAAAGCGGGAAAACCCACACTATGGGTGGTTTTGGGAAGTCCTGGCAATGATAGCCAGTTTTGGATGCATGGCGGCCGTGGTCACCATCCTCGCCAGAATGCAATCGCAGCCGTTATCCCACTGGACTTTTTTGATAAGTCTCAATGCGACGATTGCTACCTTTATCACGGCTGCCAAGTCTATGGCCTTGTTAGTCCTCGCTGCCTGCATTGCCCAATCAAAGTGGATTCTTTTCAAGTCGTCGGCCAGAAAACTACGCGAGCTCGACTTGTTTGAAGATGCCAGTCGCGGTCCTTTGGGCTCCCTAATGCTTCTTTTACACGTCCGTTGGAGGCTTGGAATCGCAAGCATTGGTGCTATTGCTACTGTCCTCGCTCTGGGAGTCGACACATTCGCCCAACAGGTCGTTGGGTTTGATACCCGTGAGGTCGAGATCTACGACCGGGGTGCCTCCTTTGGCCTTAGCCGCATTTATAATGGCAGCTCGGAGTTTAGGATTAGGGACTTAAATAGATCCCTCTTAATTGTAGACGGTACGATATCCTCTATAAAGTTTATGGTTGTATCCGCTCCATCATTTGTGGCTTACATGCTCAATCTTAGATGCGAACGCCGATGTGGCAATGCAAGGGGCCGTGTTTAGAGGCATTTTCAACATTACTGCAACACCTTTCTTCAAATGTCATTCTAAATGCGTTTGGAAGGAATCATATGTATCCCTTGGTTTTGTCAGTAATTGCGCAGACGTTACGGTCGCCACCCTGGCGAGCAATATCACCAGAAATGACGCCCAGTACTATGACCACGATAATTGGATGACAACCCCGGGAAATATTTCAATATATGCCCACTTCTCCCAGACAAGTGAAGCAACGAAGGTAAATGTCGTTGCAGTCAGTCTCGTGCCCAATGCGGCCGGTGGGCAACCCTTCGCTCCCGAGTTTGTCCGGATCGCAGTTGTGCGATCGTCGGAATCCTATATGGGAGAACCACAGGTTTTTAGAGACACGTTGGAAGTAGTAGAGTGCACTGTCAGTTTAACGGCATACACTTACTCAGATATGTCTGCGTCTGGTAATCAGTTAAACATCAAGTCAAATCCGACCCCTCTCCAACCAGCGCCGTCTTTCAGGATGTTGGTCTTCAACCAAACCGGATTACCGATCCTACAGTCTACATCCGCAGATATAATCGCGCTGGTTCAGCTTTTCACATCACCCCGTTTCAGCGGAGAAATTCGCGAAGGAGAAACCTCGACTACGCCACCTCAAGGCATAGGGCTTTCACTACGGAATGGAGACATCTCGAAGGCGTTTGAAAACATGGCGCACAGCATGACCGAGCAACTCCGATCGAGCAACGATGTCGCGGCTTATGGGTTGACTGTGACCTCAATCGTGTTCGTGCGCGTGCGGTGGGCTTGGCTGGCTTTTCCTTTTGGCATTTTGGCTGCATCTGCGCTGCTTCTTTTTGCTACCGTAATCAACAATTGTAATCACAAGTGTCATCTCTGGAAATCTTCCATGGTTGCAATACTGTACCATCAAGTGGTCATTCAGGAGGATGCTAAAGGAGTGCTTCACACTGATATGCAGAGTCTGGAACAATTGAAAGCATTGGCGAATGGGACAAAAGCAAGGCTAGAGTGACGGAGGGCAGGATTTCGGTTTTATTTGGAAGTATGATCCTATTCTGAGACCAAGTTGCTCCAACCATGTTACTGTTTTGTTTAGATTATTAGATCCGTAGGGACGTTCTGACCACATAAAAATCAATTATTACAAAACGTACAGCTTATGAAAGAGCCAATCTAGGATTAGGTGCCTACCACTATCTACCATTACAATCAAATTCCCTCGATTACGATCATCGGTATAGTGATATTCCGTTCCAGCCCAGCTCGATTGAATTGCACGTGAAGTCTCCTACCCCAATAGTCAATGCGATAGAAGACACATCCACAAGATTAAGAGAACTAGAGCAGCCTTCTCCTAGATATACCATTCCTTTGACAGCATTCTCCACAGGCAGAAAAGAGTATACCTAGCCCGGAGTTAGCGCCCCGTTCTTTCGCTATTTCGTACTGCCTTGTAGCAGCTCCTCAACGGATTATACAAAGCTAGAATATCTGCATCACCAAGCTCATCCACCGCGGCTTCAAATTGTCACGAACCTCTGCTCCATGCTCAAGAGCTCATGTCAACCCTGCTTAGGGTCCTTCCTCGACAGCGATAGCCACCTCCGAGGTGCGTATAATGCTCAACGTACTGTTGCGAGCATCGCTGGAGGAGTCAGCTTGGAGGACATTCTCACGAGGAAACCTGCAATCTGAGTCCACAAGAACGATATAAATCTATTTCACTCACATCATCACTGCTCCAATTGAGCCAGACACCTTAGCTTCAGGACGCCTGGAACAAGACCGATATCATCTTTGTAGGGCGAAGGACAGATACCCACCGTCTAGAGTTGCAGTCGACGTCACACATCCATAATTAACCCGAGAACACAAGCAAACAACCACGTTTGTCCGCCGAAGTAGCGGCGCACCAAATGGCTCCTTAAAAGTTATAGCCCCCAGCATCGTGCTCCTCGAAATCTGCTACGAGCTCCCAATTGAGGAGCTCCTAAGCCTTGAAGGCCTCGGGCCAAATGGCCAACCTACTGAAATTCCCTATCTACAAGCTGCACATCGGTGGTTGAAGGGGAAAGAAGGTAAGGGGAATTTCCTTTTGCATTCGTCAATGCTATATCGTACTGTCTCCGGTGTTTTATGGGCCTAAGTGCAAGCTTGTCAAACCGGAGATTTTTAAAGACTATCGCGGAGCAAGTTTTAGTGCCTTGGAGGGGAGATGAATATGCTCTTGTTCGGACCATTGGCCAGGTAGTTAGCACTGTAACCAGCTCAAACTGGAAGCGCGTATGCCCATGGCCAGAAGACTACCAATGTATTTTGCTCTTTTCTTTAGTCCACGTTTAAGTTCTGTGATGGCTTTTCGTACTATTTTTCCGTAGTGTCCGGAATTGGCATCTGCCAAGACTTTTGAACAAGGTTAGCCTTATTATGCGTTTAGTGAGTATGTCGAGCATGTGCTTGGTGAACGAGGAAGGTCACTTGAGTCCCTCGACGGAAAAAAACAACAGGTGGGCAACACTAGATATACTGAAAGTGGCGCGCTAGCAGGGAAGACGGCCGACGCATTCCTGTCACACTTGTGCACTCTTAAATGTCGGATGTTGGCATAAATGCCTCCAAATCCTGCCACCGTTGCCTGCGAAAATGGAGGCATCTATGCCAACGCTTCGGAAGATGATATGTCCGAGCGCAGCCGATGTTACAGGCATATTGCTGACGAAGCAGTAAGACGCGCATATATACCATCACATCCATACGGAGGCACTTCCCGCATGGGATACACAACACAGAATTGGCCTCTACCGTCCATTCTCTGCTGCTGCTAACATTCGCGCTGAACCCAAATAATCCACCAATTCCTGTCTTTAGACGCTTATCTTAGCAGAGATCCCATATAATCCCCCAATTCCCGGAATGTGTCGCCCATTCTCGGCTGCTGCTAACATTGGCGCTGATCCCAAATACTCCCCCGATTCCCGGCAGCACGCATTTCCCCTTCAGGACACTGATTTCGTTATGGTCACTGTGTTCAGGATTCCATGTAATCCTCACAATCGCACTCCTTCTCTCTAAGCCGCAAGTAGCAGTTGTCGTTAAAGATGTAATCTATAAGCCTCTCCAAACCCTGAACGTCGCCTTCCCTCGTCCCAATCTTATCTTCATCAACCCATCCCTTGGTTGCGCCGCCTTCAAAATCAATAACAACTGCATCACCACTCGTGCCAATGACGACATTTTCAGCTTTGACGTCTCCCCAGACAACATCCATCTGGTGCAGGGTTAACACAGTCTTTTGAATCTGCAAAGCCCATTTCTCCCGAACATCCTTGGGTGCCTGTTCGATAGTCCTCCAGGTAAGAGTCTGATCAATGTCAATCCAGTGGTAGAGCTCTCCGCGTAGCATGCCTTTGCTGTCCACGACTACGCCGTAAAGCCGCGAGATGAGCAGTTGATCTGGAGGAATGCGTGAACGGTGAATTTTGTTGTACTTTTCTACTACTTCTTTAGACTCTTCCTGCGCCCATGAAGGTTTCCAGAAGAAAGATTGGCCATTAACGAAGACCTTTTTCGGAACAATATCGAAGACCGTACTGGGGTCGTCAAAGACGACCTCAACATCCGAGGGCCTGAACTGAGGGAATGGTGATTCGAAGGGGTCCGGTTTTGGATCATCCCATTCATCCATAAAGTTTTGTTTTTTAGGGGTCATGCGAGTAATGGGGCCTGGGCGAGGTACTTCGTCATAGAACTCAAGCTGGCATTTGTAGTACTGGCGAGCCTGTAGATCGGCCAGCGTCAACTTTCCAACATGGTGAATAATGGGTGCGAGCTTCTGGAACTCTGGTATAAAATGCAACGCAATTTCATCCAAATAATCCCATAGATCGGCCTGATCGGAATTGGAATCATGGTGTTTAATAGAACGTAGTACTGTTCCTACTGTTACTGATAGTAACAATCTCTTGGCAGTTAGAACGAAAGTGAATTGCCTGCCGTTACTGTACGGTTAATGAGGCTATAGTTACTGCAGTAACTGCCTATACTAATTGATTTCTTGGTGTTTTGGTAACGCGTTCGCGGAGGACGTTTTCGCGCGTAGTAGTACGAGGGCTGCTGTGGAACAGGAGGTGTCAAAACGCGCACTAATACACCAGATTTCGTACCTTTTCAACCATCCTATCCATCGTCAGTACAGAATAGTGAATTAACTCCTTGATTTACCTACTTCTCGCCTCCAATATTGCCTCCATCGTCACCATGAGTATGCGAAAATTCCTCCAAACTCCACGTAGCACTCAAAGGTCGCAGCACCAGTTCGACGTT